CCTTGTATTTCTCCTATAAGCAGCGATAACCATCGGCTGACCATGACGTCCTGCTTTCAGCACTCCCCACAAGCCCAACGGGACTGGGGAGGAACTGTAAAGTTTGACTTTGGGCCTACAGGTCAAACCTGGGATTAAAGGAGCTCACATGCTTCAGTTCAAGAGTGCAGATTTTTTTAAAGACAGCTAAAATCAATAAATTGTGTTCAAATATTTTATTTGGATTTACATTATATGAGTATATTTATGTTATTAGAGTCTTTTTTTTCTTTTACAACATTTGAGGGAGCATTGTCTTAATTTCATTATGCTTGTTGATGACAATAAAGACTTATGAACTAATTAGCTCAACAGACCTTCCTGATATTTGGAGACACTTACAGTTTTAATCCAACCTGTTTAAATTCTGTGCACAAGGATAAAAATGACAAATATAAACAAATTAATTACATCAGACTTATCAGCTATGGTACATCTAAACAGATAACTTCTTTCACAGAAAGTTTGTGTTTAGTTTTACACATCAGACTTCCTGCAGCATTTAGAGTCAAACCACCTGTTGTTTTTCTCCAGTCTTCGCACCCAGTTAACCCCGGTCTCAGCGAGGAGTGAACAACAGTTTCACAATCCAGTCACATCTGAGAACTGAAGCTAATGGCGCAGCAACAGGTCGAGGCTCCGAGCTCACATAATGGCAGGCTTTATTCCACTCAAGCTCGTTTGGCCATTATGGTACAGTTAGTCTAAATAACAGCTGAAGAAATGGCATAATGCGCACATAGTGAGGAGAAGTGATATTTCCTACCCACCTATTCATATTTTAATCTCCGAGCCTCTGGAAAAAAACAGGCGCAATGTGTTGTGAAAGGTTCTCCTGTGTATGAGCAGAAACTGTGGATTAATATTTTACAGTGTTTTAATGAACTAAAATTGCAGATTTTAAATAAATAAATAATCTAAATTATTCTCACACTGTGGTTGAGCTGAGCAGCCTGTGGTGATGTGACCATTTCTCTGTTCTTGCTCTAATCTGATGCACTTGAATCTTACATGGAGACATTTGGAGGCCATGCTAAAAAGGTCTACCTCAAACTGAACCGAAACTGCATGTTTAATGAGACTGTGATGCTAATTTTGTGGGGTATTTCATTTCTTATTTGGAAAATTAAAATGTCATCTTCTGTGTTTTCAGTTTAATCACAGGGGTCAGTCCTTTCTCCCCAGAATATAAAAATGTTTTCATTATAAAAAAGCAAATATTAAACAAACACTATTGTAATGTGATGCCTTGTACTGCTATGAAGAGATGGCATTCTCTCAAATTAAGCTGTCTCTTAGCTGAACTTTGACTTACAGTGTGACAAACTTTATTGGATTTTACAGTCGTTTTTCACACTGCACAGCCTGTTAGAGGCACAACAACCAGCTATGAATACCAATTCAGAAGGCTTTCATTTTTCTTCTCTTGGTCAGTTAACATTATAGTTATATATAGTATTATAGAGTTTAGTACACACAAGCAGCTCGGGTTAACACAGCTTCAGAGGCCTGTTGGTGGTTTCAATGAGCAGTTTTAAGGCGGATGTCAAGCTCCCTCTAGTGGAGGGTGTCTACCCTCTTCATCGTAGCAATAAAGAATCTATATTGAGCTTTTCTCTCAGACGCTCAGTGCAACAGGTCCTTATTCCTATATGTTACATATGCTACATGTACCAAACAGAGTGCAAAACTCTTGTTACTGGGCTATATAAATAACAAAAATGGCATTTTAATCTGTGCTGTGCCACTGTTGTGAGAAAAATCAATTAAACTAAATACAAATATTGGTGTTTTAGCTTAGCATGGGAAACAGATATATCTATACTTCGGAGGAAGAAAGTCAAGTTTAAATGTTCAGCTCATACACAACTTTAACAAGAGCCAGAAAAGATGCAGTGATCGTATACTTGAATAACCTAAAGATGATTTTCTATTTATATCAACATTTCCACATTTTCAACACCATTTTCAGGCTTAATATGATGTCTTATGATAGTATTCTGACCTAAATGAGTTCAAAACACTGGTAATTTTGACAGGAATGTGTATTGTAAATGACTGTTAAGCTAACAAAATTCATGAAGAAATAATACTATAGAGGTTATTGGTGGTAACTATATGCCTTTATGGTTAAATTTGTTGTCTTAGTTCACCACAGTTAGCAATTAGCGGTTTTTTCCTCTTAAAGAAAAAAGCATTTAAAAAAGGACACTGGCATGCTGCTAGTTTAATTGTTCAAATCAGGCTCTGTCAGATAAAATAAAACATGCTCACAAACTGAAACGTTTAAGCTGATAGCTCTGATGAAACTGAATGTCTAACTCTGTAGAATAACTTAAAACTGTAAAACTGCAGTTACCTGCCAAAAGGAGTAAGTCTGTCCAGCATGAGTGCGCCGACACTGTCTTCCTGTTTGTTAGACTGTGCTGCCATCTAGTGATCTGATCAAGGTTCACACCATCTGTCAACTCAAACAGAGCAATCTAATCTCACCAGTCTGTTGTCTTCCAGCTTTTGTTAAAAAATTCCTTTAATAATTGTGTTTTACATTTAGATCAACTTTAAATATACTGCACTCATTTCACTTCCTGTTTGTCCTATTTGATTAGATGGCAAATTGATCTCTTCTGGGTAAAATTCCACTGGATGCATCTGCACTTTAAATCATCTAAAACATCCTAAGCATTAGAAAACTGTCTGAAGTCATACAATACAAGATCAAACGACATTCCTTCTTTGAAAAAGAACCACTCGTCATCATCTGTGCAAAGGATCACTTTAAAGATAAAACACAGGAAGTGGTGCACTTTAACCTTCTGGTGTGTTTGACCTGAAGCGTCTTGTCATGACGAACATGATTCAGTATGGTTCATCTTCACCTACACTGGAAATCCAAACACCAGCAGCCACCAATATGAGACTGTTTCACTGACAGGAAGTCCAGTTTAGAAAAAGTAATAAACAATAATGGAAATACAGTAAATCATATCAGATCTGTGTACACTTAAATATACGAGGTCTTTAATGCTGCGCTCTGTTATGACTAATGTTGACCTGTAATTAAAGAGAAACCAGGAAGCCTCAGCAATCACAAGAACCAATGTTTCAAAATATGCTTAACGAAGCAGTGATGTCATTTTGAACAGTTAAATTCATCCTGAAGGTTTTAGCCTCAGCCTGGCACTTAAATCTGAAACTTTTTACAAAGTTTGTATTAAAACAAAATAATATGTTGTATAATTTGTTGTTGTTTATATAATTGGTTACATTGAATATCAGAAACACCCTTGTTTTGGAGTCAGTTTTTGAAGTTCTTTCCTCTTTTACACTTGTGGCCTGAACAGCTTGATGCTGGCTATCGAGCAAAGTGAGAAACTTTTAACATTCAAATGCTTTACAGCAGCAGCAAGATTGAAAGACTGTGTAGCTACATTGCACAAAAGTGCAAAACAACCATGCAGTAAATTTGCAGCATTAAAATAAAATGAAATGCACACTTCGTTTGAACACTACACTAACGATAAACCATTATTAACGGACTAATAACAACTTTCATGCAGGCCAGGACAGATTTGCTTCCAGGATACTCAGAATCAAAACAACTATATTAACCATCAGTTTTCTGAATGCAATCATCTACACTCTGTGTAATATGTATATGGTTCATAAACAATTCAGAGTGTTCATTCTAATTTAAACATTTCACCAACACACGCATGAACATCTGTATGTCAACACTGCTATAGCTCTGATGTCTGCAAAGTCTCCCGATATAATCAGATTCAAAAGTAGCCACAGAAAGCTTTTAATGTGAAAGGTTGGTACCAGGAAGGATCCAGCATGAAGAAAAGCAGGTAAATAGTAATGGGGAAAATGAATCTTTGTTGGGATACTGTTAGTTGCTTCACGTAAAGCATTCACTCTGATTTGTTCACCATGTTGAGTTCGTGTTGAGTTCTTGTTAGTACCAATAGTGCCGATAAGTCATGTGACTAAATACAAGATCTCTTGTTCAGTCACGATTAAGATGCAACCTATCTGAGTCTGTTCTGTCCTTATTTTGCTGCAGGGGAACATGTTCGATCCTTAGTTTCAAGGATCCCCTTAAAAACTTTTATGAACATCATATAACTTTAGAGTGAGCGAACACACAGCTGTGAACAGATCAGTTCTGTCTGATGCATCTGAACTGCTTTATAAGTGCACATGTTTAATAAAAGTCTGCCTTTGCTCTCTCAGTGTGCTTTGCTTATTCAAGGCTATGTGCTACACTTGCAACACAAAAAATGTTGTGACTGTAATATAGCAATGATTTTTAACTAGCTTCACAAACACACAGACATGGATCACAGACATCAGGAAAACCTAAATCTGTTTCCCAAAATAGGATGATGAATGTTTTATTTAGTGAACTTTAAGGCCATTACTAATTAAACAGTATGTAATAAAGTGAACCAATGAAGGAATGAATCATCTTATTTCTTAGCTTAGATTTACACAGGGACTACACAGAGAAGCTAAACACGGACAGAGTAAGAATATTTGGAACAACCGACTAGAAGGTCGCAGCTTTGTATGAGGATAATCAGACAGCTTTAAGCTTGTATACAGTGGGTAAAGCAAAGAAAATGAAGCTTTTCTTATCCTGCTTTTGGTGTCATCTTTAATGTCAGCTGTGATAACCTGTTTCATGGGCAGAAACCAGCTTAATTATGTTTTCTATCAAATTCATTCTGATCATAAATATGGGTTGTTGTTGTTTTTTGTTTTTTTGTTTTAGCTTGGGCTGTTGCTTAACAACTTAACAACTAACAGAAACATCAAGAAAAACACTGAAATATTCCTTCCGTGTGCAACAAGACTTAAAAAAAAACATTCGATTCCAAACAAACAAAATGTGCAAAAGCAGCACTTGCAACAGATCTTTTGTCAAAAAGTTTGATCCCGATTATAAACTGTACCTTATTTCTTGGATGTCTTCACTGTAACACAGCAGGTGGATTTCCATGCAGGAGCAGATGATGATGTCACTGTTCCCTCTCTGTTAAAGGGTTAAACGTTCAGACAAATTATTCTCCAAGCACTGAAGTCCTAGTCTTTTGAAGTTGTATAATTGCCATTTTGTTAGTTTTTAAGCAAAGAGACGCGTTTTTGCTCATTGGTACGTCGCTGTGGTCCTGCCATACTGCTGATGCTGAGGTTTGTCATCACCCCTCAACCTGCACCTCCTTGTCTTCTTTTTATTTTGCTTAAAGTCTTCCAACTTTCAGCAGATTTAACAAATTTAGCAACCAGAGAGGTGAAAAATATTGCAAATCCACTTTTAATTTAATGAAGAAGAAAAACCACAGTCTGTCCCTGTGTGTTGGCCCTGCGACAGACTGGCGACCTGTCCAGGGTGTACCCCGCCTCTCGCCCTATGACAGCTGGGATAGGCTCCAGCGCCCCCCGTGACCCTGAAAAGGATAAGCGGAAGCGAATGGATGGATGGATGGAAAAACCTTCCTCACATTGGCAAGTAGGCTGTGCTCAGAGAAAAGTAATCCTTCCACACCTGTTGCCTGGCCAAGAAAACCCCAGTCAAGCTAATGTTTTTCTAGCAACAAGTCAAAGAAGAGCAAGCCCCAACACCGTCATTTCTCCAACAGAGACAGCAGAGAAACGGGGTAAAGGATGGAGAGAGGAGGCGAGCATCCTGTCGTCTCTCAGCCAGGAGGATGAATGGAAAGCCTGCCTCTCTGCCTCCCTTTATATTCTCTTTCTCTCTTCCCCTGCTGCCTCACTTTGGCTTTTACCCTGGCTTCAGTATATGTGTGTGTGTGTGTGTGTGTAGGGAGAGAGAGAGAGAGACCTCTTTCAGAGCAGCAGGAATATATTATAACCCAAACAAAAGGAGTCGGCTTATTGTTTATGAATTACCAGCCTTCCAAGCCAACAAAGGCCCCTATTTTCATAGAAAACTCCATTTTCATTTCAGCTCCATTTGATTACCAGAGCAAAGAAAAATAAAAAGGCCTCTCCGGTCGCAGCGTCCCAAAGGGATTCATTCCTCCTTCTCTCGCTCATTCAACTCCACTGAAAAGGTTTCTTTATTGCTTTCTTTTCAGGATCGACGTCAAATGGGCTTTTAGGAGTAAACCAATGACAAAAATTATTGCTGGGCTATTTTGTACAATAACAGGGCCGGGGGAAGAGAGGAGTCCTGTGTTGTCTTTGTCATCTTTCTTTCCCCCTTTTCTTTCGCTCCTTTCTGCTATTGGAGAGGAAAATTGCAGAGGCTGAAAATTAATGGTGAGGCTTTTGGAAGGAAAGAGTGAGAAAGAAAGAGGGGGACACAATGCAACAATACAAGTCAAATAGAAATTATCACAAGCTATTCAGCACAATGAAGAGACAGAAAGGTACTGTACGGCTCCAGAGGACTTTGCCTGTGTGCATGTGGGAGTACCTTTCACAAAGCAGACACCTGTTGGACGAAAACAATAAAACTCCAGTGATTCCTTTCACTCTTAGTCAGTATCCTGCATGCATGTGTGGACTCACACTGCAGTTTAGCTCCTGATTATTAGTTTCCTCTGCCACCAGTCGCCTGTCGACTGATCTGTGAACAGTGATGCTTGTTAATGGACTAAATTTAACTAGGTTACATTTGGAGTTAGACAAGTATGGGCAACAAAACCGCTGACATCACTGAAAAAGAAGTCAAAAGTGCTAATGCTGCTGAAGCTTTTCTGTCTAAGTTGTTGTGAAGAAAGAGGAACATTATGTAATATTTCCACAGAACTACCTTTAGTTTAAGATTGCCACTCATACCCTAAGGGAATGAAGGGGGCTGCAGTTATTTGGTCATCTTCTTACAAAGCAATGTTCTCTCTGCTGGGTTGTGGTATTAGAACCAACCACCTAATCTTAGTTGAAAACACACACACACCCCCAGTGGCAATGGCACGCTCTGACTACAACAGAAGCAAAACTGAAATGTTCTTAGACTTAGACGCAAAACAAGTGAACACGCAATCATGTCATCAGCTTTATAAAATATCTGCATCAGCCAGTTTTGTTTTTGTCGCGTGCATCAGTGAATGAGATTTGAATCACAGGTCTGTCATGCACCCTTGTTTCTATATAAGTAAATGTTTACTTTGTGGTATGTTAAAGAGATAGTGATGGGGCTGTTGTAGGGGAGGAAAAAAAAGCAGACTGAAGGAATTCAAACAATACTGTTCAAGAAGGCAGACAAAAATTAGGCGTGGGTTGCAAAAGCCAAGGTGACGAAAGCTGATTCTAGTGATACGTTTCACTGGCTCACGTAAGTATGACCTGGTCAGTTGGCACAAGATGAGAAACTTACTGCATGAATGAGAAAAAGAAAGACATCCATAAGTGAGCTATTACCGAGAAGGTTGGGTGCAAGTGATGACATGTAGCAAAGATGAACTTGGTGACGATCCTCATACGAACAAGCATCCATGGAGCCCCAAAGCCAGCATCTCACAGGAGGCACAGGCCCAGCTGTCAGCATCTCAGGGCAATAACCAAGCAAGTAAATGAACAAGCAGCCCATGTGATATTAGGCCGTGATTTTAATGTTTTAGATATTAACATTCAGTATTCCTCAACGTCAACATAATTTTGGAAGGCATAGTTTAATGAGGGCAAGTCAGAAGTTTTCTGAACTGACACTTAAGTCAGCACATGAGCACCAAATATTCTGGTATTTTACAAGCTAGACTTGTTGTTTGTTTGTTTTTCAAAGAGAATAGATGAACACTATCCGCACACACTGTGAAACTGAAGATTCTCTTTCATCTTTCACTTTGCCTCCGGCTTTGTCCTGCAGAATGAATATTTGGCTCAAGACAAAAGGTGAGCCGATCAATTATTCCTCTCGCAGAGCCTGGGTGCTGTTGTGAAAAGCGTTGACATTTGAGCTTTCCAGACGACATCTGCAAATTTATATGCCTTCTATTGTGTGAGGCAGCCAGCCTGTATCAAAGGCTGTAAAAGGCCTTGTCAATTTCGTAAGGACAACTCCACAAAGACTCCTTTCTTGTCTGTTGTTATGGGAATAATGCTTTACGCTGGTGTCCTGCCAAAACCTCTTGGCAATCTGGCCATGTGATGTTATTGATTGCATTGATATCAGGCATCTACCATGGAAACCATCACACTGTCAGTAATGTGTTGTGAAACATCAGAAAATGCATATTTGGTGATCAGCTTCAACAAAAATGTCTTCACAGAGGCTCTGCATACAAATTGTGTACAGTAAATATCTTTTGTCTGACTTCCTGAAGTTCAATGAAACCACTGATAATCAGTAAATAAACTCTGTCTGTGCCATGGAGTCTGGAGAGGTTGAGGTTAGTTAACTTTTTACCCAGTTGATGTTTCTGGTTTTCATATTCAGGCAGAGATTTTTCCCTAACATCCACACTGAATGCGTCACACCTTGTGTCCTGTTAAGATGTTTGCTTGGGACGCATTTTGATCTTTATCAGGACTCTTTGCTCTTTGATGAAACCTGCTGTAATTAATCTCAAAACATACCTGTGCAGCCCCAGGCTATTCCCACTCCTGTGAAATAAAACTTGGAGATCTCAGAAAGACATAAACCAGGTGTGCTGTGGCACATTGTGTAATAGCTACGTTGAAACAAGTCTCCCCCTGTGGTGGAGGCTGGGAAAAGCTGAGTATGAAGGTGAGTCCTTGATGATCATCTATGTCCAATTGCGAGTGAATCTGAGTGAATGAAATTAAATCAATAGCGTCACCTCCACTCTTTGCGTTGGCAGAGGGCAGTAATGTACTGCTGGGACACAATATTTTCACAAGTGAGGCTAAATGCAGGGACGCTTGCATCAGCCACTCTGAGGTTCAGCTTTCCATTTCACCTCAGTCGCTTCCAATTTTTTGTATATCATGTTGGACCAAGCATGAATACCAAGGCTAAATGGCCTTTGTGCAAGCACATGTAATAAATATTTAGTGTTTTTATTTTACATTAAATAATTACTTTAGTAAAGTGTAATTTGACACAGAACCCAAGGATTGATGCTTCAGCTTTGTCGTTTAGCAGTGCCTTTATTGACAGTAGTGATTACTGTGGTTTTGGGCTTCTGCCCAGGATGCTGGCACTCTCCTCTGCAACTGTCACTCTCTTCTGCTACGTCTCACTGCAAGACAAAAAGAGTTGCCCTTCATCAAACCAGTTCAGCACACCTGCTCTTCCCCGCCTCCACTCCGCTCTGTGAGGTCACTGCATCACCCCTACTCTGCAGCATTCTTGCAAGCAGACTAGCAGTTAAAGTAAACTAAATTCTCTTCTGGGACACCCAGATTATATACAGATTATAAGAGAAACCTAGGGTTGTTTTCTTCAATAATGAATAGTAAGATGTTCTAGCTTTATGGAGGGCTTTCTCATAAGGCAGCAAACTATTTCTCCATGGCTAAATGATGATCATCTAAATATGTGATACGCTATTCCCTCTCCAGCTTATGAGTTATCTGCCTGAAGTGCGCGTTTGAGAAATCTACCTGGGAGTCAAGCATTTCTCATTTGAAACTCTTTTTTTCACAGGAGCTACAGTATAAGTACAAGATAGGTACAAGAACAACATTATTGACCTCTGTAGGAGTAGAAGTCAGGCAGCTGCTTTGTGTTGGTACAAGTATGAAATACAAAATCTGGGAAACACTGGAGCCAAGAATAGTTTTGCACTCCTTGCTCTGTGTTCCCAAGTTTATGTACTAGGGAAAACTACGCAGTGCGTAAACTTGGGAACATGGAGCAAAACTGTGATGGTAGGAGATGACAAAGGACAGTGGAAGATGGAGACAATAAATGCACACTGGATAACAAGAATTTAGGCACTGAGTGGTACCCAACCCTGCCGGGGAGGTGTCTGAGAAGACTAGCTGGCGATGAGTCACTGGAGTTATTCACTGGAATAATAAAACTAAGTAGACGAACTACATTACAAACTGAAACTACGGAGGATATGATAAATACTAAAGGAAACTCTTAACCAAAGTATGGTCAAACTAAAACACAATAGATTCTCAAATATACAGGGAATCACAAAAAAAAGTCAGTGAAAAAGAAATCAACTAACAAAACAGTGCAGACATGTAGTGTGAGTTGCAAAGAAGAGTGTGTTGAGTTCCAAGAGGGACAACTACATCAACAAACACAAGATTTTGTCATTTAAGCGAGGGGCTTGAGTGATTTTTCTTCCCCCAGTAGCTTTACAGTGCTAGAAATGTGTTTGTTTGCAAGGAAAAACAAGAACCTTTAATATAAGATAGTGCTGAGAAATTCTAAAGAAGGTGTTACC